TTGACTTGGGCTGGATCTGGACTATCATTCATGTTCCTGGGAGTTTGTAATTTGATGTTTCTTATAGAAAGTGTTTGGTGGATTCTTTCTATTTTCATTTTGCGCACACACACACACACACACACACACACACACACACACACCCATTCCCCCCCTTCTAAGAGCTCTGGGCAATTTTTTTTCCCCACCATTTCTTGGTGGAGACAGGGCTGTCAGGTACTCCAATATTTATTAAATTACATCATCTTAATCTGGGTTCTAGCATCATTTTTAAAATTTAAAATGTTCTTTTTTCATCTTTTGCCTTGATTTCAATATTTCTTATTGTCCATTGGTATCAGTATCTTCTGTTTGGTCCTTTCTAATTTTCCAATAATTTGTTGCTTGGGAAAGCTTTTTATTTCTTATTACAAGGTGTTAATCCCCTTTCTAATTCTTTCTTGCATAGCTCTCATTTCTTTTCCAATTTTTTTCCCTTAAGTACTCTCATTTCAGTTCTAAAAACAATTTTTAACTCTTGGATCATCTCTTCCAGGAATTCTAATTGTGTTTGTGCCCAAGCTGTGCTTTTCTCTGAGGCATTGATTATAGGTGTTTTTTTTTTAATTATTCTCTTCTTCAGCAATTGTGTTTTGAGCTCCCCTAATAACTAAGTGACACTTTGTTGTCATTGTCTTCTTGTTAGGGCTGGACTCTGGGGCATTGCTGGAGTGAAAATCTGAGCTGACCCTATTGCTGCTTTAGTGAGTATTGAGTGCTCTGTAATTCCAAGATCTCAGGGACAGGTTGAGGACCTAAAAGGCTGCAGGTCTCCCCATATAGTCTGATCCAGGGCAAGTGCACTTGCTACCTCCCTGGTCTAAGTTCCTGACCTGAGTTTCAGCCTGAGCAACAGTGGAGTGTTGCTGGACTCTGCCACAATCAGCCAGCTGGAAGGCTTTGTTGGTTCATAGGGACAGAACTGTAGGCTTCCGTTTGGTCTGGTATCCATACCCTGCTTATTCCTCTGCAGGCTGGGCTAGATGCTGGACCTGAGGATGTGCTCTGTTCCTGGGGTCTGAACCACAATACTGCTCCTTGCTTTGGAACTTCTTTTCTAAGTGGAACAGGGTACCACCTAGGGCCTTCCTACACTGGGACACTAACCACAGGGGCAGGGCCCCTTCTCAATCTGCCCTGGACCTATGACCCAGAACTGGGTAAATGGACAGCAAAGCTGACAGTTGGCACCTGTCTCCTCTACAGTGCCCTGGTCTTGGTCTCACATGCTTTGGTGTGGATATAGGACATCCTCTTGACCTGGTGCACGGCCTCTTCCTGGGCACTGGAGTGTTCTGGTCTAATCCCATCCCCAGTGTCCACAGGCCTCTCTGTCTGTCTCTCTATGATACCTTGAGCTGGACAAATGACTCAATGGGACTTGCTCTGGATTTCCCCATCAGAATTCAGTCTGGTGCCTTTTCTAGGTTTTTTTTGGAGGAGTTTTGTGGAGGGGAGCTTGTCTTTCTGTCTTCCTGTTAGTCTGCCATCTTGGTTCTACCTCCCTAAGCCCTGAGACTGACCTAGAGCCCCTACGTGGGCTTACAGAAGGAGAGAACTACAAGTGGAGCTTGTCTTATTGCACTGATTTTCTGTTCTCACACCCACGAAGACCCCAAAGAATCTGGGGTTTGGGAAGAGAGTGAGGGGACAAAGATGTTAGCATTGATTCTGGGATTCAATCAGGGCTCAGACAAATGGCAATGGAGTTGTCTGGTCTGAGAGGGAGCACTTCAGATGGACAGCAGCTTCTAGGGATATGGGGGCATATCCTTAGGAAGGACATCTATGGCGGAGATTCCTGGATCTCCTCACTGTCTCTTCCATTAACCTTTCCTTATGGCCATTAGGGACCAGGGGCAAATGAGAGACTGCCCCTTCTCTTCTTTCTGCTGACACTAGATCCTCCCCACTCAGCCTTATCAGTTCTTTTTCCAGCTCCAGGGAAGGGATTTGACTAAGGAGGTTAGGAACAAGGGGAGGGTTGGATGTTGAACATACAATCCTGCAATCTAACCAGAGATTATTCCCCTCCCTTGATCCCCTTGGGGTCCAGAATGCAATTGCCATATCAATTATAAAAGTCATTTCAACTAGGTCCTAGGGTCTTAGACGATAGCTCAGGACCTGAAGGAAAGCTCAGAGACCATCTGATCCAGAGGTTCTAAAAGTATGGTTGAAGAACCCTTTGGGGCCCCTGAGACCTTTTCAGAACATCTGCTAGGTTAAAACTATTTTTGTCATAATATCAAGATTCTGTCTCTTAAAATCCTCATTCCCTTCCTTGGGTGAGGCCAAATTTTCCCCATGTATTTCAACACAAACAACAGACCGAAGGCAGAAGCAGATAGGACAATCAAACTGTCTCTTATTAATTCTGACATTAAAGAGTGCCACTCTTCTCACTAATTTTGCATTGTTTTAGAAAATATTTTTCACTAAAAAATTTTAATGTATAATAGATTTATTATCTTACTTTAAATGAATTAATAAATATTTTAAAATTTTGCCAGTTCTCATTTATAATACAGTAAACATTGCTAAACAGAGCCCCCATAAACAAGAGCTCTTTAGTGTACTCAATAATTTCGATTAGTGTAAATGGGTCTTGGGACCAAAAAGTTTGAGAACTTCTGGCATAGGAGTTCGGCTAAGGGAATGCTTTAAGCTTGAACCCATTGTGTGATTTAGCAATCCAACTATTCTTTCAGTTGTTTCTAGATCAGGTCTTGGGACTGTGGTGAGAACTAAGCCTCTGCACATGCAGTCTCCTGACCTTAGAAACCTGGTCAGCACATGGACATATGCAAGTATGAGACTGAATTTAGGGACCAGTCACATGCTCCATTGCCCTTAATGGTGATAAAAACTCAGGCTGGGACAAGGTGTTAGGATCTTCAGTATGGTTAAGCCCCAGCAAGTGGGAACCCAATATTGCTAGGTCCTAGTCATTTTCATCTCTATGGGACCAGAGAGCCCAGGCAGCTGAACAGCAAAAGACGCTAAGAGGCACCATAATGCCTCTTCTGGCTTAACTCCCCAGTGATATCATTGATGCAAGAGAGCCTGCTGTCCTGTGGATTGAATGTCCATGACCCAAACTAACCGATTGTGCCCAGGGTTACTTGTTCAGTGTCTCAAATCTTCCTACTGCCTGAAATGGCAGCACTCTATGGTGAGATTGCCCCTCAGAAAGGTAGAACTTTGATACATCCCCCCATTCTGCTGTAGCTGTGGTATTTGGGATGGTGGGCAAGGGAGAAAAGGACTCTCCCAGAGACTGTATCATCCCCAAGTGTGTATCCCTTCCATTTTGTCACATGTTTCCCCAGAAGTTGCCAGGAGAGCCCAGTCAGTGCCTCATGGGCTAGTCTGTGTAGTCCTGCTCCTGCTTGGTAAGGGATACTCCAATCCAAATTTCTGAACTGGTCTTCTTGATCCATTGATCTCTCAAGGAACCAAACCCATCCTTCCCTATCCTATTTTTTAATTTTTTATCTCTTTGCCCTTCGGTGAGGTAGTCTCTTCTTTATCATCTCTGATGTTAACCCCCAATTGCGCTCCAAAAAAATCTGTATAAATAGACACTCCTTCTTTGGGAAAAAGGGTGGGGGAGCCTTGATGAAATACTCAAAAGATGGGAAATTTTCTCAAAAGGATTCAATGGAAGATGTCTTGTGAATGTCCTTGTACCAGAGAGCCCAGTGCTCAGGAATTGCTTTGTTTTTCACGGGGATACCAGTCTGGGTACCCTGAGGGAACATTCCTCCTTTGGTAGCAATGGACTATAGGAATAAATGAATCCATAAGTGCATGTGTATGTGTGTGTGCACACGCGTACATGGGTATTTGGGTGCTTGGGTGCTAGCACTTACTGGAGTTTTCCAAGTTAATAGATTCTATTTAGTCCATAGATGTAGGAGATCCACAATTCTGTGTTTATTTGTGACTTACGGTAAGTCTTCCCCACCTTTAATCAAAAGATATTTCATAATATTACTCAATTCATAGAATATCTTGACAAAACAGGAGATAATGAAGTCATGCTGAGATTCCTAAATTCTCAAAGTCTCTCTCTAGGTACATGAAGAGTACCCGTTCCCTGGTCAGATCTCTCTTTCTAAGAAGTCCTAATTTTCTTTCTTGTATTAAAATTTTTTAAATTTTATTTTTTTAAAGTAACCAAAATCTATGTCCTCTTCACCCTGCCTGCTTTCCACTCTCTCCCCACACCTGAATTCACCCTCTAGGTAAGAAGAAAAAGAAAACCACTGGACCAAATGTTCGGGCCTTTTCAGTCACGTCTGACTCTTTGTGACCCCATTTGGGGTTTTCCTGGGAAGATACAGGAGTAGTTTGCCATTTCCTTCACCAGCTCATTTTACAGATGAGGTAACTGAGGCAAACAGGGTGAAGTGACTTGCCCAGGGTCCCACAGCTAGTAAGTTTCTGATTTGAACTCAGGAAGAGGAGTCTTCCTGACTCCAAGCCCAGTACTCTATCCACTGTGCCACCTAGCAGCCTGAAAAACAATTATATTGGAATTACTTTTCAAAACATTTACAGAAAAATGTCACATACCCCAGGTTGAGATCCCCTGGTCTATAAGAGTTCCCCTCAGGAAAGTACAAGTTGTAAAGGAAAGGAAAAATAGAATGCTGTGGGTTTAAAAGAAGAGGAGGGGCCTCAAATCTGGTTGGGGGATCACAAAGGTCTTCAAGGAGTTAGGATTTCTAAAAGGTTCTAACAGATAGGACCCCAGGAAGCAGGACATTAGAAATAAGCAGAAGAGGAAGGAGGAAGGCAGGGAAGCGAACATGACCTTGTTCCGGAGGAGATGTGTCCAAACATAGTGTGTGGGCTACACAATGCCCACAATATTACCAAGTGCATCCTGACCCAGATTAAGACATAATTGGGAAATAGATAACAAAACAAATAAATATACAATAAAATGCAGATACTATTAATAAATGTTTTTTATAAGTCAAACATACAGGTTTAGTGGCCCCCATTTATACTTGAGTTTTATATGATGTTCTATAGAATGTGAAGAGCCCACCCTGGCCACAAAGGAGAGTCTCTGCAGGGAAATAGTGAGAAAGAAAATTGAATCAATAATGGAGGGCCAGAACATGAAAGATCTTGAGTATCAGGAATTTGATCTTCATTTCAAAGGCAATGAGGAGCCATTCTAAGGTCTCAGAGAAACAGACTGACCCATCTACAGAGCAATAACAATGCCAGGAATAGATGGGGTGCTTGTCATCATAAGAGGAAAAAAAAAAGTGAGCTCTGAGGTCCACTCAGAGTTGAAAGGGCAGGCAAAGGGCTTCAAGGATCTGGGCATGGGTATGGTGGCTGGATTCTCTGTCCTGAAAGGGATATCCCCATATTGCCTGTGGCCTGGGCCAAGCTCAGGATGGCAGGAACATGCATCATGTTGGGGTGTACATTGAAATGAATTCATTTCATTTCAGGTCTTTTTGATCCTGAGAAAGCTTAGGGTGGCTCCTCCCTTTCCCTGAGGAAAGAAGAGAAAGTTCAGTTAATAAATCTTTCACCATTGTCTAAAGCCTAAAATAAAATTTTTGCATCCAAGCCTGACAACTCTTATTTTCAATTTTCACCCAAATCCACCCAGGACAGATGTCCAGGTAGAGATCCAACCCTAGGGGCAGGATTAACGGCAGAAAACAAACACACAAGCTGCCATTTTCACTTTCTCATTACCTCAAGTTCTTCCCATTCCTTCTGGCACACAAGCTCAATGAGCCTCCTGCATGCCCTCCCCATGCCCTCCAGCTCACAGGCTCCAGGCCAATGCCAGAAACAGCTACTTGTATTAAGGATGACATTTCCTCCCCTTTATTTATCACTGTTGGCTTTTCAAGGAATTCTCAACTACACTATCTTAGGTCTGGCCCTAAGAATAAGACTTTTAGAAATGCCTGGGCATCTTTCCTTCACAGCTTGGGGCTCAGGGAGCTACTTCTGTCTGGGGATTGAAAAGGCCATGCTTCCTGATGCATTTGAATTGAAGTCAGATTGAGGGTCCCTACTCACCTGCCCAGCAGAACACCTGCCCAGCAGAACACCTGCCCAGCAGAACAACCAGAGCTGTGAAGACTAAGCCTTTGGTCACAAGGAGACCATATAGTACCTGGATCACTACAGAACTAGAGAAAATGGAAGAGTGTGATTTTCCATTGCAGAGAGGAAAACAAGAAAAGTGTGACATGTGGCAGGGGGCATGTTAGTGGAGTGAGTGACTCCTTAGGTCTAGGCCTCAGCCCTACCTGTGGGGAGGTTCCTACATTCCCGCTGCTGATTATCTCCTAACTGTGTTATCTCCTGTATAATTTATCCAGTACATAGAATTTTCTACAGAATTGTTTGCATCTTGTCTCCCCCATTTTTCTGTGAGCTCCTTGACACCAGAGATGGTCTTTTCCTTCCTCTGTATCCTCAGAGCTTAGCATAGTATTCAGCATACAGCAGGTACTTAATAAATTCCAGTTAACTTATTGGCTGACTTGCTGATGGAATCATCAATAGGTACTGTCTACATTTGGTGCACAGTGTGTCCACCGTAAAGGGTTAATGGATGGAGGGTGAAGAAGAGGAGGGCTCCCTGGCTCCTCAAGGGAACACCAACAGGCCTTAGGCTTCAGAGAATAAAAGAACAAAGAAGGAATGAGGGCCAGCCACCAAGGAGAGGGAAGGGAAGAGAGAGGAAAAACAAAACATCCTTCAGTAGGAATCCTAGTCACCACTTCTCCTCCCTTTGTGACTTTGGCATGTCTGAAGAGTTGATTTGTTTTGTTTAGTTTTCTCTTATCACAGGGCCCCAAGGTAGGGTTGAGGTCTCTGAATGAACCCAGGAGTGTTTATGAATTAAGTGCCTGCCCAGAGCCAGGAGCTGTCCTAGATGGTGGGAGAGCAGGATAGAAATGAAGTGATGTAGCCCTGCAAGGAGCTTCCCTGTGTTCTGGGGAAATGTGAACACATTCACCAACAAGTAGATGCAACATTCAACCAGATAAATACAAAGAAATGTTTAGGGAATTCAGTGGCAATTAGGGGGAATGAAGAAAGTCTCTTTGAAAGTGTTTGAGTTGAGCCTTGAAGGAAGCTCCAGGTAATTAAAGGCTGAGGTGAGGAGGGCTTGCACTGAAGCATGGGACAGAGACAGTTCACAGGCTTAGAGATGGGTGCTGGCATGTTGTGTGTGAAGAAAACCAAGGAAGACTGTTTGGCTGGAACATGGAAGGTGTGGAATACAACAAGGTTCTCTGAATCTAGAAAAGTTGATTGAAGCCAGAGTCTGAAGAGTGTCAGATGCAAACCCAGGAGTTTGGATTATATCCTCCAAGCAACAGGAAGCCACTAGAGCTGCCCATCCCCATGAGGGAATGCTGCCTATCTTATCAAGAAGAGAGTGTTGTTTATCAGAGAGGAATTTAGGCCTTTGTCTGGTTTATCTGGAGATGAGAAAGTGTGCTAAACAATAACCACCATCAAAAATATAGTGGTGCAAGAAGGGAAGGACTTAACACACAGGTGACGATCCTGTGGCCTTAAGGCCACATGTGGCCTTCTAGATCCCTAAATTCAATTGTTTGACTTACTACAAATTTTACAGAACAAATCCTTTTATTTTCATTAATAATTTTTGTCCTCTTTCATATTTTTATTTTATTTGATTACTGCTAAATATTAATGGGGCCTTCCAATATGAAAATGTTCCCCACCCCTGGCTTAGCATATGACACAAGGTAGTATAGGTTTAGGACTAAAAAATGCCATGCCAGGGCTAAAAGAAATCAGATTCCAAGCCATCTTCAACTTGGAAATTAGGGAAAGGGGAAAGCTCATCAGTACAGTTTCACTAGGCCCAAGGAAACCCCCAGGTCCTTTTGTTTGCTCTTTTCTTTTCCCTTCCAGTAGGGAAGAGTGGAAAGAGGTCACTTTGGACTAAGAGTCTGGGGCAGCACTAGTGAGCTTCACATTAACTGCTGAGGCTGAGAGCTCCTGAGACACAATGGATTTCCAAAAAAGAGTTGTACCTGCTGGTGGCCAAGAAGATGGCAGAGGTGGTAAAAGGTGTCTCAGTGGTAGGCTGAGAACCTTTGGTGGTCTTTGATTTTGTGGCTGAAAGAAGAACAGAGGAAGAAAACACTTGGCCTTGACCCCACATCCTCACATGCCTCCTCTTCCCTGGAGAAGCCAGAACACTAGGCTGCTGGCCCCAAAAATTTGTTGGGCCTTGAAAAAGCTTTAGGCATCATATGAAGGCATGCTGTGGGCTAATATAATATAGTATATCATATCCCATTCATTATGTGTTGTTATGTATTCTAGCCCATTGTTTCTACTGCTAATGTCACCATCAGACTCCTTTGCCACCCCCAGGTACTCTGATGGCCTGACCAAGCATATCCCTATGGGATGCTATCCCTAGGAGGTGGCTGTGATTGGTATCCAGAACGAAGACAATACTAAAGATTCTCAGATGCAGAGCATTTGTAATTTACACAGAATTTCCCACACTCATTGTTACATACACATCTCTCCCCTCCAACCTCATTTTATAAATGAGGAAATAAGCCTGAGAGAGGTGGAATGACCTCTCAGGGTCACAGCATTAATCATTTTCACAAGCAAAACTTGATCTTATGTCTATGCTCTTCCATTAGAAAATGCCAGGAGCTGCTCCAACAATACCTCTGGTGGAACCACCCCTGTCTCCCTTCTCTCCTGGGGCCAGAGCTTCAAGCATCCTAAATCAGTGAAGCACAATTCTGTGTCTGTGTATATGTTGGGAGGACCCTGTGTGTGTCTATGCCTGTGTAAGTCACAGTCGCTTTTGTATGAATGAGTGTGAGTGTGTGACACAGGACACCCAAGACTTAGAAGCCCCAGGACAAATGCTGGCCCTGCATGGGAATGAGATCAGAGAAGAAAATGCCTCACCTTCCCCAGGGACCAGAAGAGGAGCTACTGTCAGAACCATGGAAAGAAGTGATGAGAGGATGGGAATAGGGAGGGGTAGGAAGCTGAAGGAATGAAGGAGGGGGAGCAGCTTCTCCCTGGAGACCCCAAAGAGACCCAAGCTCACATCCTAGCTCAGGGTCATGTTCACACCAGGTATTTCCTAAGCTCTGCTGGAACTGAAGGGGATTGAGTTGGCAGGGACTTACCTGGAGAAACCTCCAGCCTGATTGTCCTGAGAATATCAATACTGTTCCTGACAGAGTCACGGATTCCACACCAATAGATGCCTGAGTCGTTCACCCTGAGGTTAGACATGGTGATGGTGATTCTACCAGTGTAGGTGTCATCTGCCAGGGAGGCTCGTGAGTCCCCACGTTGCTCAGGGAAGCCTGACTTTCTGATAATTACTGTTGTACACCACTGTTCATCTTCTCTCACTTTACACCAGGTTTTCCACCTCTTCTCAGCTCTCTGGGGATTGTAGCTGCAGTTCACTCTGAGTGTCTGCCCCTCCTGGTACTTCACTGGGAACACTTGTCCCTGTGAACCTGAAAAGCAGATCATCAGGTCAG